CACACACACACACACACACACACACACACACACACACACACAGAGTGAACACAGGCTCCCACATACAGTAAATAAAATTTTAAAGTCTGTATTGGCACTGGATTCCAAGTCTTGGCATTTGCGGAGGAGAGCTCCTAGATTTTCCTCCCTACTCAGCTCATCCCCCCCACCCCCGCCCTCATCACTGGCTGTGGCGTCCGGCTGACCTCCAGGCCCTCCGCTCCCTAGGACCGTCCCGTTTCGAGGCAGGAAATTCTTCCTCTAATATGTTCTATTTTCCCTTCTCTCTCGTCTGTCAGTTTCCTCTCATTCCTCATCATTTGGGGGGAGTGATGGGGGAGGGGTTGTCTCTGGACCCTGGGAGTCGAAGAATGAGGAGGCAGAGCCGAAGTCTGGGCCTGGGGATGGGTCGACTACAAGATTCTAGTCCTGTGGGCTGTCTAGACTAACTTGCTGACACTCTGAAGTGTTCCTCTGTTTAGGATGCCATGATATTAGGGAGATGAGCCGGGCGTGGTGGCACACACCTTTAATCCCAGCACTCAGGAAGCAAAGGCAGGTGGATCTCTGTGAGATCAAGGCCAGCCTGGTCTGCATAGAGAGTTCCAGGCCAGCCGGGGATATGGAGAGACCCTGTCTCAAAACAAAGCAAAACAAAATGAAATTGGGGCGTTTACAGAGTGAATGGAAGGGAGACTAAGAACCAGTGAGTGAGATGGCTCAGCAGGTAAAGGGGCTTCCTGGCTAGCCTGAGGATCTGAGCTCAATCCTGGGACCCCATATGATGAAAGGAGAGACCCGGGAACGGGCTCCACGCTTCCACATGGCACATGCTCCCCATACACAAAATAAGTAATAATAATTTTTTAAAGGAAGTGTGGGGGCTGGAGAGATGGCCCAGTGGTTAAGAGCACCAGCTGCTCTTACAGAGGACCCAGGTTTCCCAGCACCACAGTGGCTAACAACCATCTGTAACTCCAGTTCCAGGGGATCTGATGCCCTCTTCTGATGTCTTCGGACATTACATGACATGAGAACACTTACACACATGCAGGCAATACACTCATACACATAAAATAAAAATAATAAAATATTTTAAGATGAAATTATAAATGCATGCATGCTAGGCTTTACTGAGCCTTACACAGCTGACTCCTAATGAAACATCTGCATCCATGCTGCAGCTGGTACCAACAACAAGCCCAGCCTATTCACAGAACTGCCTGTAGTTCACACCTAAATAGTATCCACATTGTTTTCCAAGAAAGAGCATCTGAACGCTACTCACAAAGAAAGATGCAGAGAGGAGCTCTGTCTCCGCCCAGTGCACCGCCTACTAATGTTATATTGTATGGCCACAATCACTAAGGGAACAGAAGCCTTCGGTGATGCTGTGGGTTAGGTAAACACTTGCTAAATATTGATGCATGCATAATTAAAGTGACTAAAATAATCCTGGCATAAAATTATCCTTGCAGTCAGAGGAGAGACAAAAATGAAGTAATTTGACCATAAAAATGAATACGAGTTGACTCTTGGTTTTCAATGCGGCTAATTGGAAACCACTTATTATTCCACCGCAACTGTGCTTCCTCCTCCTTACCACTGGATTTGTTTTTTTTCCTCTCCTTGCCCTGAGAGCGAGGAGGGTGAAAGAAGAACCCAGGGACTGAGTCCTATTAAGACAGTAGAGGAAGAGGATTAAGCTGATTTTCTTGGGTGTCAACTCCTCCACTTTTTCCCACGTTGATTTTGGCATCCTTGGTACATTTCTGGGGTATGTCCAAGGTGAAAGGCCATCCTGTCTTCTTCCACTCGATCAACCTTGAAATTAGAAGATGGGAGTGATTACGGGTATGAGCTTTTTATGACAACTTTACTGAGATATAATTCGCATATTACACAATTCATTCATTTAATGTGTTCAAATCAACAACTCCTAGTCGTTTCAAAGTTATACAATTGTTATTATATTTCATCACCCCCCAAAGAAACCCTGCATTCATGAGCAGTCACTCACCATTTCACCCCAAGTCCCCCAGCTTCTACACACGTCCCATCTGCTTTCCGTCCACACAGATTTGCCTGTTGTGGCAAATTCTATGAGGCAAATTGTGCACTACGTGGCCTTTAATGTCTGGCATCTGAAATTGGCTAATGAAACTAAGGATTGTTTTCATGGGCTTTCCACGTGAGGTGTGCATCAGTATCTTTCTGGTTTGTGGCTGTACTGTATTCCATTACATGGACATAATACATTTATTTATTCATCTGTCAGTTGGCATTCTTGTCTCCACAATGGAGCTGCTGGAAACATTCCTGTCAAATTTTTTTATTGAATTTTTGCTACTTTCATAAACTATAGTTTAATGACATTTAGATCCCCTCCCCTATTCCCCCTCCCGCTACCCCTCCACCCAATATAATGTACTTTCATATATAAATACAGCCTATAGAGTCTCATTTGTATCCTCAAATGTCTTCAGTGTGGGTCCATCCACTGTGAGTTCCATCCCTGTAAGACACTGTCTCTCCTCCTCCCAGCAGCCATCAGTTGCCAAAAGTTCCTTAGGTTGGGTTTGGATTTCCTACCCACCCCCAAATCTATGATATGGTTGGAGCTTGCATAGGACGTGTGCATGCTGTCACTATTGCTGTGAGTTCATATGCGTAACTGATCAGCTGTCTGGAAGACTGATTCCTTGTGGCTATCCACCCCCTCTGGCTCTTACAGTAAGTATCTCCACCTTCTCTTCCACAATGCTCCCAGAGCCTTGGGAGGCAGAGGTTTGATGCAGGGTCCTACTCAGGGATGAGCACTCTTCAGCCTCTTGTTCTCTGCACATTGGCAGCTGTGGGTTTCTGTGTTAATCGCCATCTGCTGCATAAGGAAACTTCTCTGGTGAGAGTTGAGAGAGGCATTCATCCTATGTGTAGAGGTTGCATTGAAGATGTGTCACTTAGGGTTAAGCATCTCACAGACACTTGTTCTCTGTGTTTGCCCAGTTCTGGAACTCCGTAATAGTCTCCATCTGTGGCAAGAAGAAGCTTTTTTGATGAAGGCTGAAAGGTACTTTAGTCTATAAATATAAGGATACATATTTAGAATAAAGTAAGACAAGAGAAAAAATCAAAAGGGTACTACATGAAAAGAAGATGTGGAATTATCCTTATTTGCAGATAATATATTATACATAAGAGATCCCAAAAATTCCACCAGAAACTTCTAGAAATGATCAACACTTTCAGCAAAGCAGTGGGTTACAAAATCAATCTACAAATATCAGTAGCCTTTCTATATACAAATAAGCAATCAGAGAAAGAGCTTGGGGAAACACTCCCATTCACAATAGCTTCAAAAAAATTAAAATATCTAGGGATAAACCTAACCAAAGTCATTAAAGACCTATTCAATGAAAACTTTAAATCTTGGAAGAAAGAGGCTGAGGTAGACACAAGGAGATAGAAAGATCTCCCATGCTCATGGACTGGTAAAATCCACACGGTGAAAATAACCATCCTACCAAAAGCAATTTACAGATTCAATGCAACCCCAATCAAAGTCTCAGTGATATTTTTCCTGTGAAAGTTTTACATATATATTTTTTGTTTTGTAACAGGATCTGGCCTGAAACTTACTATGTACCCCAGGTTGGCCTCAAACTCAAAACAATCCTCCTGCCTCAGCCTCCAGAGTGCTGAGATTACAGGCCTGTACCAACGTACTTGGCTCTGCACGTGGAATTTGGAACTGT